AATCGAAGAGATAGTGAGACAGATACAGTATCAAGGTTGAACCAAAAACCTAAGCCAACTCTGTCAGACTTCCTTATATATTTGATACACTGCACACGCCCTACAAACCTCCCTCTTAACCAATTGACTGCTTAGAGCAAATGTCATCAAGAGAAAGGTTACCAGACTTCATAGGGGAATTACTATGTCAAACTACCAAACCAGAGAACCATAGGCAGCCCCGTTGACACACAGCCATTGACATACAGCCTTAATAACTACACTTGTCAAAACCTTTCTCCTCCCACTACATCCCTTCTAATGCTATGAACTTTCTGAACTGCTATTTCTTCCCAAAATATGCCATTTACCTATCAAATACAAGAAATTAATTATACTTAGGACAAAGGTACCAATGGCTAATAATTACATAAACTATTAAAGAAAGTTAACATTTATTCAATATAGCTGCCACTCAATTTATACTTTGAGATAATAATTACAATCTACAAATTGGTTTTAAATTTAAAAATATCTTTACTAGTATGAATAAAGGAAAAAATAACAATAATTCCAAATCTCTAAGAGTTGTTGAACTTGAGTGAAAAGATTCTCCCCATAAAACTTATCAGGTCTTAAAAAGACCTTAAAATTCTTAAGGAAGATAATAGGTTTACTGATCATTTATATGTCTTTATTGGAAAAATGTTCTGTTCTCTTGCCTATTTTTAAACTACAATTTTATTTACTAAAGATTATCATTTCAATGTTCTGTATTATTTTTTAATGAAGGTTTACACAGCAGTTTATTTTCACATTCAACAATTTCTACACAAAATACTCTGTGAAACTCGTGATTTTAAAATGTGATTGTCTTTTTTATTATTGTATTTCAATAACTCTTTAAACTTTGGGGCTATAAATTATACACCATGTATATTTAATTTGCAAGTATTTTTTCTCAATCTGTGATTTGTCTTTCCACTTTCTCTGTGGTGTCCTTTGAAGTGAAAAAGCTTTACATTTTGATAAAGTCTATACTATTCATGTTCCTTCTTCTGCTGTCATTTCCAAGAATCCTTTGCCAACTCTGAAGACATGTTTTCTAAGAGTTTTAAGGAGTTAGCTTTTATATTTGGGTATTTAATCTACTTAGATTTTTTTTATTTGGTGTTGACTGAGAAATTAGTTTCACTCTTTTGCATGTGGCATCCAGTTTTCTTAGTCCCATTTGTTCAAAAGACTATTACTCACCCCAACTGAGAGATATTGACACAGTAGGAGAAACTAAGTTGAGCATAGATGTGTAGATTTATTTCAAGATTGTGAATTCTAGTTCTTTGATGTATATATCTATTCTTGAGCCAGTATCACATTGTCCTAATCACTTAATTTGAAATAGGGACAGTAGCAATGTTTCTACTTTTGTTTCTGATTCTAATGATTTCATTTTCCTCTTTCTGTCTTTTTTTAAATCTAGCTAAAGACTAGTCAGTTTTGTTCATCTTTTCAAAGAAAAGACTTTTAATATCATTAAATAGAAGACCATTAAAATGTTTATCATTTCATGCTGTTGTTATGTGTCACTGAGTAAATTATGGTTCATAGTGACCCTATGAATATGAACCCTTTTCTACCCTGTGCCATATTCTTCATCTTTGACATACATAACTCAAAGCCATCAATCTTTCTTTTGTCATCCTTATTCATCATCCAGCTATCAGACAAGTGTTTGAAAAGACCATGGCTTGAATCAGGCATGCCTTAGTATTCAAACTGACATCACTGTTGCTCAGTACTTCAGAGAGGTCCCTGACAGCAGACTTTCCCAACAAAATACCTCTTTTGATTTTTTAAAAATGTAACCTTTTTATTTTATATTTGTTTACTTACAAAATTAATATACATTGTTTTTCACACCGTTTATTTCCCATTTCCTTAACTCACCCCACCTCCATCAAATTCTGTGGCCCTGTGATTATGCTCCCCCATTCTACTGCCTGTGCTCCCACTCTCCTCCACTTGGATACTCATACATATTTTACTAGTTATTTATTTCCACAATCGGGGTCTTACACTGGAGAACATTATGTTAAGCGAAATAACTCTTTTGGTTTCTTGGCTGTTGGGACCAAGCAACTTGATCACAATGTTGTATATTGGCCCAGGGGTGAAGATTTTTATTTTCTTGGTTTTGAGATGTAATCCATATTGAAGGCTACAACTTTTGATCTCCTGCAGTAAGTGTTTCAAGTCCTCTTCACTTCCAGCAAGCAAGATTGTATTGTCTGCATAACATAGGTTAATCGTGAGTCTTCCTCTATCCTAAAGCCTCATTTTTCTTCTGTAGAGTCCAGCTTTTTGTAGTGTTTGTTTGGAAAACAGATGTAATAGATTGTTGTTGTTGTTTTTAAGTGCCATCAAGTCATAGAAGACTCATAGCGACCCTATGAACAAAAGACCTGAACACTTGTATAATTTTCATCGTTTCTCCAAGTTCATACATAGGGTGTCCGGAGGCAAGCTGTTTTGAAAATGGATGCCACTCTTGCTTCCCAGCTTGTTTTTTCCCCCTGCTGTATGTAGAGGAAATATAATTTTATTGATAGTTCTTAAGTCTTCGACTAGTCTCTATCTACTATTTGGCTTCTGGACTGCCATGATGGTAGTGTTATAAGGAGAAGATTTCTCAAAAATTCTTCTTGCTTTTTAAAATTATTTAATGATGGGTAGTAGGCTTGTATTTTTTTCAGCAGAAATATGATATTATCTTTAAAAAGATATCCTGCACCTGGTTTTATAGCTATTTTTCCAGTGACACTCCTCTAACTAGTGAAGATCAACTATCAGCTTAAATAGCTAGCTATACGCTGACACTGAGGGCTCATGGGCATTGATTTAGTATTCTTTAATGCCATATGAAGTATTAGAGTGAAGAGAACTTTAGCTTTTACTTTTGATAACAAATCCTTTCCCAATAAAAGTATAGGGGTTTCAGATATAACTAGAAATTGATGGGAAAAATAATGTTCTGTTTTATATGCAATTTAACAGGGGAGTTTGATATCTATTTACAGGCCTGTCCTCAATGCCCACAATAGTAAACTGGCAGGAGGAAGGAGGCTATTAAAAAAATTCTAAGATCGGATAACTCATACCAGTGTTGAGAAAAAAGTGAATTATCTTACCAGCAATTTCCATATATACTCAAGGGTACTCCAGGCACATGGCCATGCTATGCTGGTTACTTGTTGTGACCCTCAGGGACCCGGGGCCTCATCAGTCTGATTGCTCTTCTGCCACCAAGACGTGCTTGGGGTATTCTTGAGCTTATGGGACTTGCATTGGAAGCATGTAGAAGGAGGCTTCTCTTTTGCCCCTTTATTTCTTGCAGCATCTTTTGACACTCAAAACTCACATGAGCAGACTCTCTACACTGGAAGCAAGAGCTTTGGAATCAAGGTTTTTGGGCACGTCTGCTGGATGAAAAGGACTGGCATTTGTTTTGGGTTTTGTTTAACTTTTATTTCATACAGTTTGCTTACAAAGTTCATATACATTGTGTTTCACACTTGTCTTCATTCACATTATGTTTCATATAATCATTCCCATGCATATTTATTATTTCCCCCTTCTGCTTGTTTTAGGTATTATTTTTCTTTTTCCAGTATATTATCGTTGTTGTTGTTGTGTACCATCGAGTTGGAACTGACCCATAGCTGACCTTCAGTGAGTTTTCAGAAGCATTTAATTCAGAAGCACAGAAGGAAATTGCCTGTCCTTTCCCGCAGAGCAGCTAGTGGCCTTGAACCATGTGCCTTCAGGATTGCAGAGCAGCTTCTTGACAGTAGGCCATTAGAGCAGGTTATTTATTAATGTAGAATCTTTTTCTTTCCTAATGTAAATATGTGTAGCTATAAATTTCACTGCAAACACTGATTTCACTGCTTCTCATATGTTTTGTAGAGTATGCCTTCATTTTAATTAATATCAAAGAATTTTCTGATTTTAAGTTTGATATACTTTGACACATTGTTTACATAAGTACCTTTTTTAACTTCCACATTTCCTAATCTTTGTCCTGCTATTAATTTATATTAAAAATAGACTTCTTATCTATTTTTTATTTATGTATATTTATCTTCAGGTTCGTGTATTCTTTCTTCTTCTGATTCAAATCTACCCTCAAGCTCCTTCTGTAATTTGTATTTCCTTTATTGCACAAGGTCTATAATTTCCATATGGTACTCTCCCTCCCATAATGTTTGCCTTTCATTGGCATTATCTATTTAATGTGTCTTTGTCATCACATCTTCATTTCTTTTATTTTTAAATTTTAATTTAATAATTTTAATGAACATTTCAGAGATTTTGGATTGACATTCGTTCATTGTTGCACTTTTCTGTCTGCCTACCCCACATCTTCATTTCTTTAAACATAGTGACCCTTTAGTTTTGTGAAAATATTGTGATAAGTTTAAAGTCTTTTCTTCTGATAAGTTTGAAATCTGGTCTCTCTCACACTTAATTCTGTTTCTCTCCCCATTTTTTCTGGCATGTATGTCATGCTTCCCTTTTTTTTAATGTTTAGTAATTTTTTTTGTTGTTGTAAAGTAAATGCTTTAGATAATACATTCGTGCAAATCTCAATATTTGTCCCCTCAACCTCTTCTAGGGGTCTAGGGGACTGTTTTACTATTCTATCTGTATGTGTATATATATATGTAT